AAATGGCGGCAATTTGGCGGAATATCGAAGGACACAATATCGAAGGTAAAATACACTGCACTGTTACAAAAGTGGATGAAACCTTCTTTGAAATATTTTTCAGCCATTTATGATTATGTAAAAGTACAATAACTGGATGATATTTGCGAGATTCGGCGATAAAAAGCAAACAAGACGGCAAAATATGGCTGAAATCGTGTTTTCGTGGGGGGTAAGTGAAATAAAATGTATTATATTAAAAGAAAACAATGACAATCCTTATGAAATCCACAATAATTATATTGAACTAAGCATAGTTTTTCATCCCATGATAATTTTTTTAGGAAATAAGAAAATTTAATTTCTGCCAGGCATATTAGTTATTTTGTGCATAATCAGCATTTTACCTGGGGTGGTGCATAGTCATTTTCTGGTAAAATATTATACTTAGACAAATTTTTCCTTCCAATGACCACCCCTAAAAGCAACCCTTCTAAACACTATAAGCACTGAAGAAAGGCTGTCGCTTTTCCTTTTCGGAAGTTAGAGCTATGTCGACAGTGCCATTTCAGGGCGGGGTCATTTTCAGCCCCGGATTCAGGTTTTCGCACATATGCCATGTTGACCGCCATGGTCATTTTACCCTAAAACAGTTGAGATTACCTGTCCTAAATGAATCGCATACAAACTCGTATACAGGTCCTAGACTACTTACTTTTTTTGCCAATTTTAACCCCTTTTTCAAAAATTGAAAAAGTGGAAAAAGTGGTTAAAAATTGACGAAAAGTTAAGGCTATAGCCTAACTTTTTTGCCATTTTTAAGTGGTTAAAAATGGACGAAAAGTTAAGGCTATAGCCTTTTAAAAAAATAATCGAAAAAGTAGCTAAAATGGACGAACACTGCAATCGAGCAACGAAAAATTCGTTGGCTCGAGCGGGATTTGAACTCGCATCTTCGGGTATCTAGACCGCCGCTCTACCTATTGAGCTATCGAGTCAACAGGGATTGGTAGCGAGTTTTATCCAACGAATTTTTCGTTGCTCGATTGCAGTGTGAGATTAATATGAAACTAGTTTTTCGTATCTCTGAGGAGATGGTTCTGAAATAGAGTTAAGGTATAGCCTTACTTTTTTGCCAATTTTAACCCCTTTTTCAAAAATTGAAAAAGTTGTTAAAAATGGACGAAAAGTTAAGACAAATTAGTCTTAGTCTATACTTTTACTGTACAAATTATTTTAATTCGTATATAAAAAAAAGGGAAACCTAAATGACTACACACGTCGTAGTCATAATTAACATTATATTTCGAACGTTTTATAGTTATGAAAAATGGGAAAAGTCGCTAAAAAAGGACGAAATGTAAAAGGTATAGCCTTACTTTTTTTCCCATTTATGAAAAACGGGACAAGTCGCTAAAAATGGACGAAATGTAAAAGGTATAGCCTTACTTTTTTGCGGATTTATGAAAAATGGGACAAGCCGCTAAAAATGGACAAAAAGTAAAGGCTATAGCCTTACTTTTTTCTGGGTTTTTCCCCCCATTTACAAAAAATGGGAAAAGTCGCTAAAAATGGACGAAATCTAAAGGGTATAGCCTTACTTTTTTTGCCGTTTTTTTCCCATTTACGAAAAATGGAAAATATGACAAGTCGCTAAAAATGGACGAAATGTAAAGGGTATACCCTTACTTTTTTGCTGTTTTTTGCCCATTTACGAAAAATGGGAAAAGTCGCTAAAAATGGACGAAAAGTAAAGGCAATAGCCTTGAAGTGGTTTAAGCCAGTTTTCCACATCAATCGAAACGCATAGCGTATTTAATTGTTGTATGAGCGTAGTGTGGAACTAATGACTTCGACACAAAAGAGGCTTTAGTTTTTAGCTATTTAATAGTAAAGCAGTCGCAGACATGTGCCGAATTTTTATATGAACACAAACGCAGATTCGCGCAGACTGTCTGAGACCGGATCGGCGATGGATCGGGAAAGTTGAACTTGGTTCAACTTTCTCGATCCGTCGCAGATCGTTCATATAAAAATTCGGCACATGTCTGCAACAGTCTGCGACTGCTTAACGATTTTATGTGAACCAGGCTTAAAGCAAATGATCATGGCGTTTACTTTTTTAACAAAAACATTTTTACAGAACAAATTAAATCATGAATGAAAAATCCGCAATCTTGAAATTATTTTTGAGTCACTATTTCAAATGACAATTTCACTGACAAACATTGTAAGCTTGTACCAAATGGACAACTTGGCAACTTGCATGTTAGACTAAATTTTAATCTAAATAAAGCGATGGGAATCAAACACCACAGCTTAGAACACTTATTAAAGTTGCAAAATTTGTTTCCGAAATGTGGTAAAACTCGGAAAATATAGCCTTGCAAAGTTTCCAAATTTTGTATATGTTTGTATTGCGGAAATAAATGGTAACAATTTCCGCATGTAATACAAAGTACAGTATACCAAAAGCATAAAATTAAATAGTTGGGTTCAATACCACATGATACTACAGTACCTTTTGCTTTGCCTGTGAGCACAAGCATTACTATTTTCGCTCTATTTCCTTCTCTTTTTCTTCATATTTGAAACAGTTTTGTTTTTTTTGCTGGGCACTTGAACTTCGTTGTCTTCATCATTATCTTGACGAGGGCGTTTCCTTTTATCTTCCATTTCTCGCATTTCCTACAAATTTGAAATTTGCAATAATCGTCTGCATTGAACTCTAACATTTTTGCAACTTGCACTTTTTGGGGCACTCGGACTAATATCAACCAAAAAATCATCGGGTACATATTTGAGTGTCTCGGAATGAAAAATAGTTGTAGGAAAAGTTTGGATAAATTCACGAAAATAGTACTGAAAAATTTTACGAATTACGGTAAATTATTTCGAAAGTTAGTGAAAAATTCTATGTTCGGAGATTCCCCATGGGCCCGCCAACGATTTTGGGGAAAAGGAATATTTATTAGCAACTGAAATGTTCGTCTATGGGGAACGACATCGGCCACGCCTTTTTGGTCTGGCAAAACAAGCTCACACAATTTAAAAAACGATTAAAATATAAATATTCTGCATGGTATGAATTTAGTAAGCTTGAATATACAGAAATTTGTAATAAGAGAAATTGGCGGGGTATTCGGCTTTTAACTCCCGATATTTTAAAGTTTGTTTGTCTTGTATTGTGTGAAAGGTCGCTGTAATTGGCGAAAGCTGTAGCGTATACCCAGCCATGTCAATGTATGTATCGTTTATGTT